TGAAGATTACGATGAAGAAGATGATGAGGATGACCGTGACGATGGCAATGACGATGACGATGACCATGACCATGACGATGACGTTGATGATGATGATGATGATGATGATGATGATGATGATGACAATGGTTTTGATGATGATTGTGAAGATGATGAAAATAAATATGATGATTTTGATAACAGAAGGGGTCCTCATTGGGGGCGCAGGTGTGCAAATTGTAGAAACGCGCATTTTTTGAGAGGTACTGTGATAGAAACATCTTCACATGAAAAACATGCAAAAAAACAATGGAAAAACCAAAGAAAACAAAAAAAACAAAAAGTTCAGACCCATGTCCCCTGCCAGGCCTCTCCCCACACCTTGCCCATGGGTCTGAACTTTTTTTTGTTTTCTCGAGGTTTTGGCCAAACTGCAAAAAACCATGGAAACAAAAAAAGTTCAGACCCATGTCCCCTGCCAGGCCTCTCCCCAGACCCTGTCCATGGGTCTGAACTTGTTGTTTTTTTGTTTTTTTGGTTTTTCCATGGTTTTTTTGCATGTTTTTCATGTGAAGATGCTTTCATCACAGTACCTCTCAAAAAATGCGCGTTTCTACAATTTGCACACCTGCGCCCCCCAGGCCAAACTGCCAAAAAAACATGGAAAAACCAAAAGAACCAAAAAGTTCAGACCCATGTCCCCTGCCAGGCCTCTCCCCAGACCCTGTCCATGGGTCTATTTTTTTTTGTTTTTTTTTTGGTTTTCTCGAGGTTTTGTCCAAACTACAAAAAAAAAGAAACAACAAAAAACAAAATAAAACACAAAGTTCAGACCTATGTCCCCTGCCTACCATGTCCATGGGTCTGATTTTTTGTTTTTTTTGGTTATCTCGTGGTTTTGGCCAAACTGCAAAATCCATGGCAAAACCAAAATAAACAAAAAAACAAAAGTTTAGATTCGCGTCCTCTGTCCAGCCTTTCCTCAGACCATGTCCACGGGTCTGAACATTTTGTTTTTTTTGGTTTTCTCTAGGTTTGTTTTTTAATTAAAACCAGTTTTTTATGGAAATGTATTTGCTAACATTGTTTTTTTTCCCCACCACCGATTGTTTACTAGAAATGCTTGGTACAATTCTCCCACTTTCTTTCTTCGGCTTAATTAAAATGAAAAACGCGACGTTAGTTGAAACATATATAATTGAATTTACCACTATGTTCTTGAAAAACAACAATCTTTTTCTCACAAATTGGATACAGCACAGTGAATATTTTAACTAATACATGCTATGCTTTAGAAGAATAGTATGTATAGATGTCTATGCACAGGTATTTGCACCTCATGTCTCTCAAAGGAACGCAGTATGTGCTTGAAAAAATCGTATTTTTTCAAACTGCAATTATTTACTAAAGGAATTCAGGGTGCATTATCTTCAAAAAAAATGCATTGATATATTTTTGAAGAAGCTGTGCATAGTTTAGAAGGCCGGTATTTAATTGAAAGAAGATGTATTTCTTTGAAGATGAAACTGCTTTCTTTTCAAAAGGAAAAGTGCATTTAAAAGTGCATTTACTTCAAGAAATGAAGAAACTGTACATAGTTCAAATGCCCAGTATTTCTTGGAAAGAACATGTTTTTTTATCGAAGATGAAGCTGCATTTTCAAAAGGAAATTGCCTTTAAAAGTTTACTTACTTCAAAAAAATGAAGAAATTGTACATAGTTCAGAATCCCGGTATTTAATTGAAAGAAGTTGAATAGTTGCTTTTCAAAACGAGAATGCATTTAAAAGTACACTTACTTCAAAAAAGGGGAAAGATTGTACATAGTTCAAATGCCCCGTATTTTTTTGAAAGAAGGTACATTTTGTTGAAGATGAGGTTGCATTTTCAAAAAAAAACGCCCTTAAAATGGCACTTGTTGGCACTTATTTCTTAAACATGAAGAGACGGTGCATAGTTTAAAAGCCCGGTGTTTTTTTGAAACAAAGTGTTTTTCTTTGAAAATAAGGTTGCAATTTCAAAAGGAAAGCGCCCGTAAAAATGCACCTACTTCAAAAACATGAAGAAATTGCACATAGTTCAAATGTCCGGTATTTTTTTGAAAGCATGTGTTTTTCTTCGAAGATGAGGCTGCATTTTCAAAAGGAAAGTGCATTTAAAAGTGCACTTACTTCACAAACATGAGAAAATTGTGCATAGTTTAAAAGCCCAGTATTTCCTTGAAAGAAGGTGTTCTTTTTTAAACATGAGGCTGTATGTTCAAAAGGAAAATTCTTTAAAAGTGCAAGTACTTAAAAAAATTGAAGAAACTGTACAGTACATAGTTGAAATGCCCATGGTTTTTTTGAAAGAAAGTTTATCTATTTCATAATTGTAAAAAGTTGCCACCACTTTATCATCATGCCAATTCTGAAGGCCAAACAAATCACAAAATCAAAGCTTTCACAACTGCGCCCCCCCCATGACTACCTGCTCTCTTTGATAATGACGGTGATGATGGTTTTGATTATGAAGACAATGGTGATGATGAAGAAGAAGAAGATGATGATGATGAGGATGACGGTGACGATGACAATGACGATGGCGATGAGGATGGTTGCTTTGATTTTGATATGTTGATGATAATTGTGAAGAATATGAAAATTATGATGATGATGATGATGATGATAAGATCATGATGATCATGATGATCATGATGATCATGATGATCATGCTGATGGTGATGATGGTGATGGTGATGAGGATGACGGTTACGGTGACAATGACGATGATGACGATGATGAACATGATCATCATGTGATTATTATGATGGCTGTGAAGATGATCAAAGGAAGTTTTGAAGTCAAACTTCCGACAATATGGACAGATGAAAAGCAGAGATGGGAAGAGTCAGAGAAGAGAAGAGAAGAGAAGAGAAGAGAGGAAGAAAGAAGGTCAACAAAGAGAAAGTCTCAGAATGAAGAAGATCCAGGTGCGCGAAAACGTAGGAAAGTCGCGAAACACGGTGTTTTTTCGGCTCCAAAGGGTCGAAAAGTAGGCTCGCTAAAGCGGCGGGTGCGGAGCCATCTGGCCAGATGAGAGATGAAAAGTTGCACGCCGTTGTGGTGCGAAGCACATTTCCAAGTCAAAATGTACAAATCACACCAGGGTCGGACCACGTTTGGAAGTTGAGATGTCGAAAAAGTGCACGCCGTTGTGGCGCGAAGCACATTTCGAAGTCAAAAGTGTTAAAAACTGCCGGTCCAGAGCACTTTTGGAAGTTGAGATGTTGAAAAAGACCACTTTTGGAAGTTGACATGTCGAAAAAGTGCACGCCGTTTCTGCGCGAAGCACATTTCGAAGTCAAAAGTGCAAAAAACTGAGGGGGACGGAGGCGCTGTTGGACGTTCAGATGTCCTTGTGCGTGGCAGGTGCAGGGGATTGTGCGCCTTGTCAAAAGTGAGCAAAACGTGAGGGTTCTGTAGCATTTCCAGAAACGATGGCAGGCGTGGGACATTTGAAGAGGATCTGCAAAGATGCATTTTCCGTGGCAGGCGCAGTACAAGAGACACATGAGGTAGATGTGTTAGGAGATCAGGCCTGAGAGGAGTTGTTGCATTTTGGAGCATCAGATCGTCAGTTTTGGGAAGATGATTTTGCGTGACATGTGCAGCACTTCGCATGACCTGGCATCACTCTTTCGTGGCAGGCGCAGTACTTTAGACAGGTGGAGTGGAAACATCGCAAAACGCATTGGTACGAGGCCGTCAGCTCTGCATTCAACATTCCATTATTGAAGGAAGTCTCGCAGAATTGCTTCGTTTTTTGATCTTGCCAACTTGGAAAATTGAGGATGTCTCGCAGAATTGCTTCGTTTTTGACGTTGTCAAGTTCAAAAATTGAGGTAGTCTTACAGAATTGCTGCATTTTTGACGTTGTCAAGTTAAAAAATTGAGGACGTCTCACAGAATAGCTTCGTTTTCAAGCTTGCAGATAGACAGATAGATGGATCAAAAACTAGAACTGTCAATACCACTCCAGTACCACTGAACCACAACTCCAACTACAACAACAATTACATTACACTACACTACGCTAATTACAGTACACTACCTTACAACTACAACGGCAACTACAACTACAACAACGACCACTGCCGCTATTACCGCTACTACCACTCCTACCACTACCACTACTACCACTACTACCACTAGTACCACTAGTACCACTAGTACCACTAGTACCACTAGTACCACTAGTACCACTAGTACCACTAGTACCACTAGTACCACTAGTACCACTAGTACCACTACTACCACTAGTACCACTACTACCACTAGTACCACTAGTACCACTACTACCACTACTACCACTACTACCACTACTACCACTACTAGCACTACTAGCACTACTAGCACTACTAGCACTACTAGCACTACTAGCACTACTAGCACTACTAGCACTACTAGCACTACTAGCACTACTAGCACTACTAGCACTACTAGCACTACTAGCACTACTAGCACTACTAGCACTACTAGCACTACTAGCACTACCAGCACTACTAGCACTACTAGCACTACTAGCACTACTAGCCCTACTAGCACTACTACTGCTACTACTACTGCTACTACTACTGCTACTGCTACTGCTACTGCTACTACTACTACTACTACTGCTCCTCCTCCTCCTCTAAAACGTATCAAAAACAGAATAAAAGCATGGTTTCTTAGGTTTCAGAAGTGACATTAGGGAATTTTTGGGCGCAATTTTGTCGCTTCTCCGTCCTTCACTGGCATGGTGCTTTCCCATCCGGCAGGTGCAACCATGGTGTGAAACCTGGCTATTGTTTCCAGGGTCGGCTGCAGGGGCGGTCCTTGAACACACACACACACATATATATATACATATATATATATATACATATACATATATATATATATATTTACATATTTACATATGTATATATATATATAGTAATCCCCAATTTTGGGGTAGTTTTTCATCCCCTTACTACTCATCTGGCCCAGGTTCAGGCTGGCGCCTCTTGAGCAAATCTGCCAGTTGTTGATCCAGGTCATCTCCTACCATCTGATGTTGATAGAAATGCTTCGAAAAATGCTACTAAGATGGTGGTTTAATGGTGGTTTAATGGGATTTAATGGGATTTAATGGGATTTAATGGGATTTAATGGGAATATACCCTCGGGTAAACTAACATAGCTGTGAAACATCCACCATTTTTGATTAATGGGTCAATCAACTATCAATGGGCCATGTTCAATAGCTATGTTAGCTTACCGGAGGGTAGTGAGAAATTACGTTTCTATCCTTTGGATTCCTTTGGGGTGTTGTTATCAATGTTTCTAAATCATCCTAAACTGCTGAGAAACAACTGGTTGGCTTAAACCATCCTATCCGATACCATCACCATTTAAATAGTTGCTTCAAACCATCCCAAATAAATCAATCAAGCTGGTGATGGTCATATTGTGGGAAACTTTGTGGACATGGAAACTTTGAACAGCCATGAGCCAGACTAGTGACTAGCAAATTCTCATGTTTCACACCAGCACGTAATCTTTCAGAGCTGGGAATGGAAATTATGATCATACGTGGGACAGTAAAATTGGCGAAATCGGTCAACATTTGTTGTACCCAAAAATCCAGCTGGTAGCAGCTCCAAGGTCCGGTCTACTGGGATGATCCTCCAGGGTGGATTTTCTGCTCACAAAGGAGGAGTTTTGATGTATCTGTATACCAATCACAATATGAAAACCACATATTTCACCACCTGGTCTAACATAAATTACTGTAATTCCCAATTATTGAATTGTTTAAATGTCCTAGTTTAAAGTTGTACCCTGTGGCAATTTAACATACAAGGTCGGTGCCCCTGCAATTATAACTTGGCTAATAAACCATAGGAACTACAGTAACTACAGTAACGACAGTATAGACATCTCTACCATAAACCATGGTTCACCAAGCTACAAGTCAACTTAGCTAACCATGGGGCACCACCTTGTAGCTATGGAACACGGCCCATTTAGTGCGATGGTATATGATGATATATGATGATGTTCCATGATTGTTCTATGACAAATTGACGTTTTTGCAGTTCGCTACCGTTGGTTTACCGGCGGGTATAACCCAACAATATCTTATTTAGATTTCACAGCTCTCATGGGGATATCAATTCGATATTTATGGGATATTCACTATATATATATATATATATATATATTTGTACATTATATTACCATAAGGATTTCATTGCTTAAATGGGATATGGCAGTGTGTCAAAACCTTGTACCCCTGGTGAACATCAAAATAGCTGGTAAATGGATGTTCATCCCCCTAAAAATGGTATTAATAGGTATTGATCCATACTCATTTAACAGATGGTAACCTATGTACAAGCCGCGACCTGCATCAGGCGTGGCGCCACTTTCGCTTTTCACCGCTGGCGTCGCAGGCGGGGCAGCTGGGGGGCGACCTTTGGTGGAGGCGGGGCAGCTGATGGCTGGCGGATGGCCAACATTTAGGGGTTATCAGCATATTTATTTATGTTTATATGTATACATATGTATACTATATAGATATAGATGTAGAAATATATATATATATAGATATATACACTTGTCTACATGTAAATAATATACCATCTCTCTCTATATACATATTATGTATATATATATATATATATATTAAATATCACCCAGTTGAGCATGGGATGCTTTGAACATAAAACCACGAAGCTACACCGGATTTTTATAATATTTTATATTTAGCAAGAGGCAACACTTGTTCTTATCAGGTATCGATAAACTTTGTCTGGGTCAAAATGACCACCCCCAAAATGGATGCATTAAAACGATCAATCACCAATTGCATGGGTCCATTGCTACCAAACATTTGACTCGTCAAAGGCAGCAAGGGGTAGGCAGTGGCACGGCTACTCGGGGCAATTGGGGGCCAGGAACCAACTGATCCGGATAGCTGGTCATTCAAAATGGCCATAGCCCACTAATAGATGATTTACCTTCGAAACTGGTGATTTTCCACATGTAGAAAGGGTATTTCTGGGATTGTTCCCCCCATAAAACATATAAAACCCATCATTTACAGTGACGTAGCAGGTCGTTGCTATGGCACCCACTTTAAGCCTGGATCGTTCATGTGCTTCAAAGCCTGAAGAAAGCCTGGAAAACCTGTGAATATCCTGGAAACGGAATTGTGAGAATTCAATGATGCATGATGGATGATGGACCTTTATTATACCCAGCATTCTGAACAGCCTTCGGCTTTGACTCATTGGTGTCATGTGTTTTCATGAAGAAAGTCGCGGTTCAGACTGGGTACTCCAATTGTTCTAGTACAGAAAATTCTCAAAGTTGCCCACCATTTGTGAGTCCATCGCGGTCCAAATTTTTGACCCATCATGATCGAACTAAATGAGCCATCATTAAGCAAACTGTTACAGTAACTTTTCCGCGCAAGTATATACCCTCTGGTAAACGTTTACATAGCTATGGAAAGATCCACCACTTTTAATGGGTAAACCCACTATTTCTATGGCCATTTTCAATAGCTATGTTTGTTTGCCAGAGGGTAAATCCTTTTTTCTTACGTTCACCCCGATGATTCATCGCCAAAGTTTTCCCCATGTTTCTTGCCCGAAGCCACAGAAAGGTTTGTTGGCCAACTTATCGATTCCGTAGGTGTTCACCTGCACCGTGATAGTGCAGTGGCAGGGAGAAATCTCGTGAGATCATTTCAGAAAACATACATCTGCATCCATCTGTTGATAGATTTGATAGTCACTGATAGTCCATGTTTTTTTACTCATATGTTTCAATATGTTTTTTCAATGTGTTTCAATGCTCATATCAACTCATATGACTCATCTGGTGGATCCAAAAACAATGTGATTATGTCGATGTCTATTCAGAAAACGGGATAGATTCATCATTTACTGTATATATATATCATGACATTGGTCTTCACTTTGTATTGGTATATAATCTATCTATCTAATACATATATTTATATTGGTATACTATCTATCTATCTGTCTGTCTATCTATCTATCTATCTATCTATATATATACTATCTATCTACATATCTATCTATTTATATTGGTATACTATCTATATTACAGTTTTCTGTTACTCTTGAATTCGACTTTCGTGACATGTGGTGCTGGCTGTCTCCATCGAAATGTTTTTTCTTTTTTCGGTTTATGGTCACTAGAGTGTTTGATTACCTGCCCTCCAATAGATTAACAGTTGGACCCTGCCAGTTGGAAGACGAGTTTCCACTATCAATTGGTGATTGAAAAAGGGTCGAACTCTTACTTTACCAGAGGGATGATCTAATGTAAACTCAATCGTTAACCTACAAAAAAATAAGCCTTTGCTAAGGAACTAGATCACGACCAAAAGTAGATGTTGATACTGCAGGAGTTTTGATTCTTTTGGGTCAATGGGGTTACCAAGTTTGGTCAAAAAGCGTACAACCAAAACAGTTGTCAGAAGCCATCTCACCTGTAAATCAACATAGACGACCCTGAAATTAGCAGCAAGTCACGCCACGGCGGCCCCATTCTACCACGTTTCTGGAAATACAGCAAAAAGTAAGACGAAACATTTGTGTGAGTTGTTTTCCACGTCTTGCAATATCTCACACAATAATATGATAGAACTTGATAGAACAATGTTATTTAAATGTTATTTGTATTTCAGAAAGGGACGTTGTGGAGGGCTGGAAAGGGGAATTGACAGATATTTGGGTCAATTTTTGGATTATATAATATATTGCTACTAAGTTTTCTGTATATGTTTTTTCCCCTTCATGTTTCCTCCTCGAGACCTCTGGAAACCCTAAAGCTCTGGTTTTTACCATCTAGACCTCCCTGAGTTTCTTTTTATTGACCCCCCTCCCAGACCCCAGGAAACCAGCTTTCAATCTGGACCAGCACCACAGTACCGGCCGCACGGACGGCACTACGGTACCGGCCGGACGGGATCTAGCCGGACTTAGCCCAACGGTGTTTACACTACGTAGTATGAGCAATACCACTCGATTTGTCTATTCTAAAAACAGCGTCATCAGTAAATAAAGCAATTTAAAATGTTGCAGACTCATTATCCTTAGACCAATACTAACTATATCTAACTATAACCCATCTGATCTTGGATGAGATTTTTTATTGTTTTTAGAGTTTTAGATTTTCTTCACTGCATGGCAAGGACATACTAAGTTGAAAAAATAAAAACACTATGTCTTAGGGCCATGCTGTGCCACTACAAGGGCCAGTGCATGATATTCAAAAGTGGCACAAGAAGAAAACTGGATGGACAGTAGAACAGTTATACATATGTAACCATAATATATATATATATATATTATTATATATTATTATATATAAATATAGAATAACATCATTATTTATTCAAAAAATGCTACATTTGTCATGGCCAGGAAGCTCAATATTCATTTGAATGAGTAATCTTGAATGACCATCTACAGGCACCCCAGGGGAGCAAGCAGCTAGATCATATATGGATGTGGGTCAAAACCCTGTACCCCCAGTGAACCTCAAGGTTGATGGTCATCCCTTATACCACATGATTAGTAGGTTTTGACCCATACCCATATTTTTCGTGATTGATTTGTGGCCATTATACTCTCATGGAGGTCTTTGTGCAGTCCAACTCGACACATGGGTCAATTCAAGCTCGATTTCAAATAGAGCCAACAATAGTGCCACAACTGTTCAAAGCTACAAACACAAGCTGGCAACGTATGACATGGTGCAATGATTACTTCTATTGGTTATTTACATGGTAATTCAAGAGATAGCTAAGATCACCCTTGCTGCAGTATCTTGATCTGATAATATCTTTGGAACAATACGGAAAACATCAAGTTTATCGTTGGGAAGGTGTTAGCATCAGTTTTTGTTTTCATCCCGTTTCACTTTTATGGTAGGTCTGCTCCTTGCCATGGCTATATGTAGGCATACCCTTGAAGATATTTTCTTGTTTGATTGCGCTGGTCACAGGCAAACTCCATTTAGACTAACCAAATTGCTTGATCAGCACATTCACTCACAGATTTTGATTGCAGGATTTGTTTCCATATGATGTACATATTATGTCCATATTTGTTGAAAAAAATGCATAGCGTAGCATGAAAAGAGCCTGATACAATTCACCACTCTGCAAAGGTATTGCCAATTAAGATCATGTCATGTGCAATTTCCCGAACATGATGATGAGTCATGTATATGTATGATATCTGTTTGTGTAGCTATTGCAGCTTGTATGTGACACTATTTGCATAGTTTCATGTTTGCCTGCATTGTTGGCTTACCAGAGAAACATGTACAAGTTCAGGTAGACCCCAGAGACAAGAATACACATGTATACAAAATTGATTGCCATAGTTTCTTACATGAGACTCTAAGTTTCTGGAATGGCCATGCATGTGATGGGTTGAAGGTGATCATTGCTACGTGCATGTAAGATTGATTTTGCCATGTTGTTCCAAGATTGGTTCTAAGTATTCTTATATATTCCATGCGCACTAAAAGGTTGAACAAATGAGTTTGCACTGTACATCTGTGAGAAGAGTCATTTGCTCCATGCCTTTTTCCTGATCACTATAAGTTCGTGATGAAGCTTGCACTTCATTGCAAGACTTGGTAGAGCCATTGAAATCTGTGTTCAAACGTTTGTTAATCGTGGGACAAAACTTGAGTCCTGTTGACAGTTGATATACCCGTTGCAACTACAACTGCCTGATGTTGCAAGGCTGTACTTTAGTTTTTTCTGGTAGAAACCACCAAACCAAAGCAATAGTAATACATTTGCATGAGGACGATTATATGGTGATGTTAATACGGGCACTTGTTTAACATAGACTATGAAATTGACTTAGCTTATCTCATTAATCATTCTTGGGTATTGTAACACAACTGTGTATATATATATATAAATATACATGTTGCATGTTCATATGATGATACACATATTGAATTTGCTACTTGCCATGGGTCAATCTATAATATGCTTTCTCAAAGGAAGAAACAGTGTAGAGCCAATGGTATGAGCTTGATCTCCACCCCTACTATGCTATTCTATATGAACTTTCCAGAACCAAATTAAATATACAATAGGTAACAACGCAACAGAAACAAACAAATATCAACAGCATAGAAAATAGAACAAAAACAACACATATGAGTATAACTAAGCATAATTTATCAAAACAACATCAGAAAACACTGTAAACATGGGGCACCCACAGAGTTACACTCTCGAAATTAGATAAATAGATAAATAGCTACCTAAGGCTATCTATATATAAAGTGGAAAGTAATCTCTACCCTCTGGTAAACTAACATAGCTATTTATTGAACATGGCCCATTTATAGTTGATTTACCCATTAAAAATGGTGATTTTCAATAGCTATGTTAAATTACCAGAAGGTAATCCCTTTTCTGGCAGGTTCATGCAGGTTCTATGTTAGTTGCTGTCAATTCGATTCTCCCGAGGGCACCAGCGAATTCTGAGCAATTTCGATCTTGTCAGCGTCCCTGAGAGAGCAATTCGCTGGAGGCAATCCCTCGTTTCCATTGGCTATCGCATTGTTAAATGCTGAAGAATGTAGATCTGGTTGGTGGTTGACCTACCCCTCTGAAAAATATGAGTTCGTCAATGGGGTTGGGATTATCCCATATATTATGGAAAATAACAAATATTTGAAACCACCAACCAGTAGATATATATGTGTGGAATTGTGTGGATATGCTAAATCCCCTCAGCTGGGAAGGCAATCCACAGTTGAAAAGAGAAATATGATGGCCAATTGGATCCTCCATAAATTGATTTGACTTCCACTGGATTTGTCCCCGATCCCAAAACTGGTAAGTCAGTAGCTCCCTTGGCTGAATTCCAAATCTTCAAGGTCCATTTCATCATGGGAACAGAAATGGGAAAAAGCCATGTTCCAGGCCAACCGGTCTCTTCAAAAAAAAATGCTAACGTGGTAAGGCCAAAACTATGAATGTCAAAGCGAAATGATGTGACTAAGGTTTGCGGGGTTACAAATGATTAACTTCATACACAAAAGTTTACTGAGTTGCTTTTCCACGTGTTGAAATTGCTTTCCGTTGCTGTCCCACGCATTGGCTAAAATTTTTTGAGACGCTCAAAGCAACGCCAACTTTCGTCCCTGGGTGTCCCCGACGTCAGCGGATTCTCGCAGGGACCTCACCACCCGTTAAGATGACTGGGTTCCAGCAGGTCCTGCTACCTTGACTTTCTCACCCAAGAAACGTGGACAACACCTGGGGATGTCCTGAGGAACTGAATTCAAAGACGACTATGCAACATATGCAACTACTGTACTCACAAAATCATCCCGTAGATAGACTCTCCATCAGTGTCTATTTGCTGGATAACATGTCGGCGTTGGGCATGGTCCAATCAAGTATAACTTTCTCTCTCCAGGCAGGCCATAGTTTGCATCAACATGTTCAGGCCTTCACTTTTGGAGGCATAATTACCAATTTTTGACCTGTACACATTGTGTAGTAGATGGGTATACATTGTCTTACATCACTGGATTGCTTTGCCATGGTCTTTACAACTTTTATCACACAAAAGGCGTTTCCCCTACATGGTCCCTTTCCAAATTCGAGGAATGCCCTTCTGGCAACCAAGCATGGCAACGGAATATCCCCTTATAAATGGAAGTTTCTAGCTGGGAAAATCATCGAAGTAAATGGTGTATTTTTCCAGCTAGCCACGTTTGATTACTGGAGGGTAGGACTTCAGATTTCAGGAGATTTTAGGATCCCTGCACCCAAAAGAGGATTCCTCTGCCCTCTGAGCACCGCACGTTTTGGCCCCTTAGGCACGTTGCACGGTTTGCGTGGGGCCCTGTGGCTTCAGGGACATATGCTACAAGAAACCCTATTTTTACTCATACTGTAGAACTTTGGACATTTACATACATTTACCATTTAAATGTCATTTGGTTAACGTTTTGGTTTATTGCTCGTTTGCTACAAACTAGTCCAGGTTATCGGTTATCCAACGTTCCAACTTATTGGATAACCGGAGAATCAACAAAGACATGTAGATTCTACGATATGACTTAGGAAAAACAAAAATAAACGCATGAGAGATCATGTAAACGTATCCAAATTCTAGCGCCATTGCATACATAAATACATTAAGCCATTGAATCAACAATTGTTTGCCTCGCGGACACGTTTTGCATGTCACTAACAAAAATCAAGTTTTCAGTAGAATCATACCTCGCCCCCAGAAAGAAAGGTTCAGTTTGAACTGCCTAAACTGACGTCCCTATTCCTTCTAGCCATCTACCTGCCTACATATTTGATACTGGTGATGTTCCAGAGCTCTGAACAGGGTTGCTCCCAACACCCCACTATGAAATCCCATTAAATCCCGTTAAATCCCTATTAAATCCCGTTAAATCCCTATTAAATCCAGATAATCTGCTCGATCAATCACCACGCTTCCACCCTGTGTGGCTAGCATTCACCTACAAGCATGAGTTAGAGCAACCCAACATAAACTTATAGCAAGGCAACAAAAAAAATCGCTGACATCATTCCCACTGCTGCTTATATAATATATATATATATGATAATTATATATATATTATAGAGAGTACAATTATACTTATCATCATGTATCTATGTATAGTACTAGATATTGATCTGTTGCTCTATGGCTCTTTCGTGCCATGCTCACCTTGCCGCCATGGCCGCCATGGCTCCCTTGGCTCCCTTGGCTCCCGCGCGGAGGACAGCATTCCCGTGAGTTGGGACCACAGGAAGTTGGTGGCGTTGCTCACCTGGTCCGAGTTAATTCTTCATTAAAGGTGAAGCCATCCACAATCCATCCATGATGTGTCTATGATATATATATATATATATGTATTAAAGACTGGTTGGTGGTACATCCACAAATGGTACATTTACCACAGCCTGATGATAGGGAGAGTGGAATGGATACCCTCTGGTTATGACTAACAGTTCGCCATGGAAAATCCCCAGCCATAAATGGAGGTTTCTAGCTGGGAAAATCATCTCTTTCTATGGGCCATCTATACCATAGCTATGTTAAATAACCAGAGGGTGTATATATATATATATATGTAATAAATACTGGTTGGTGGTTGACCTACCCCTCTGAAAAATGATGGAGTGAGTAACAGTTGGGATGATGATATTCCCAATACGATGGGAAAAATAAAAATCTTGTTCCAAACCACCAGCCAGTATATATGTATATATACATATGTATATATATATATATGTATTTATCATTAGTATAGATAGAACTGCAATTCCAGAATGGTACCTGTAGTTCCATTGTTTGTTTTCTATCATTTTCAGGTTTCAAACTGTTCCATGTCTGGAGGCTGATATCATGTTTTTTACATAGCTGCAATATGATCAATATCATAGGAGTTGCCTGATACAGTATGGGATTTGAAAACATGTTATTGGTTGGTAACAATCTGGGGATGGGTCAAAACCCTGGTACCTGGTGAACATCAAAATAGCTGGTAAATGGATGTTCATCCCACTAAAAATGGTATTAATAGGTATTGATCCATACACATCTGTGTAGTAACACACGCGCAAACCAAGTTACACACCTTTACGTTAGTATTACGTTAGTATATGGTCCGCCACATGCCAAACAAATTGCAATCTCCAGGGAAACTTCGAAGAAGGCTTTGTCCTGAGATAGGATGTCCTACCATGTCCTACGCCAAGTTGGCCCTACAAACTTTCTGGCCGTTGAAGCCAACACTTCAGAACCGACGTGTCGTCCTAGCTCAGGAGCTCCAGGTCCATCTAAAATGTGTGAACATGCAATAAACATAAATGACAACTGTAGTCATGCTCTAGATTTTTAGATATATCATCAGAAACCATTCAAATCAAGATCATCAACACCAATATTCAAAAAGTGCCCTAGCTAGCGCTTTAGCGCCATTGAAGGATTCCGGTCGGTGAAAATAACTCTGCCGTTGTCAACTCGACCCGGCCCCATGGCCACACCTTGGGTTCGTCTTTTTGGCCTCGGAAAAGTGGAGGTGTCGTCATGGGGGTACCCCCAATTCCAAGTCATGGATCACTTGGATCACCATGACATATGAATATCTGGTTGGTGATTGACCTACCCCCCTGGAAAAATGATGGCTTTGTTCGTCAGATTGGATGATGACATTCCCAACTAGGAAGGGGAAAATAAAATTCATGTTCCAAACCACCAACCAGACCATGACTTAGTATAAGTCCATGGTGGACGACTGCTGAATCCCTACGAACTTGTCGGCAACCGATATGGGCGCCTGGACACAAAACGCCAGCAAAACCCGTTGGATCATACGCCCAAACCAAAAGGTCAGCATTTGATGCGGTTTCTTGTTCTCTTCTTTTAAGGTGTTTAAGGCTTTTAAGGTTACAATTTGATGCAATTCTCAGAAGAATACCGAGTCAGCCCAAGGCTCGGGCATATTCGCATCAGCAAAAAAAAACCTGTTATCTCCACCCACGGACGATGCTGGCTGGTGATTTCAAGCCGCTGAAACACATGAGGCTGAAAAACATGAGTCATTGGCACTCATCTTTTCCCATTTCTAGGGATTTTAAAGACACATATTTGAAACCACCAGACACATGTATTGTCGCTAAAACTCCAAATCATTGCAGGCTTAATCAGGTTTTGTGGTCATTTCTCGCAATCAAAGCACCATCTATTTGACAGGTCAATCCATATTTTGGATATAAAGTGCTAAATATGTATATATATATATATATACAATAGTATACTGTATATAGTGCATATACATATATATATATATATATATGCACTATATATTTATATGATACACAATGTATATATATATATATAAATATGTGTTATACATGTGTATATATATGTGTGTTATATATATATATATATATGTTATACATATGTATGTATGCATGTAATGTAACGTAACGCGACGCAACGCAACGTAATGTATGTAAGTTAGTTATACACCCAATCGGGAAAGTCAGTGCACCGTCTCTTTGAAACACAAATCACCATGGGACGCCGCGCATTCGGGAAGTCAGAGAAGTCAGTGCAATTTAATGTAAATTAGCATGGGACGCTGTACGCCAGCAATCATCTATTTTATTTAATGTTCGGTGCTTTTTATGGCTCTAAAATTAGGAATCATATTGTGGACGCTGCATCTATGCCGTCATTATTTTGAACTATTTTGAATGATTTTGTTGAAAAACGCAATGGGACGCAAATTTCACCACAACTACAGTCAAAGTGAAGCGACCAACCAAAGATACAGGTGCAAGGACGGATGCAGTCCAAACAATGCCCGGCAAGGCGAGCGTGTCAAGCACGCAGGGCTGTTGCCACCCCGACCGCCCGGCCAGTGACGACTGCTTCGTGTGCCCCCTGTGGCGCACGCAACTCGGTATATAGTGGGAAGGTATGGAGCAGCAACAGCAGCAGCAGGACCAGCAGAACCAGCAGCAGTAGCAGCAGTAGCAGCAGCAGCAGCGACAAGACAAGACAAGGCAAGACAACTCACGTATTTCCGGCGATACTCTGGCGATACCCCGGCGATACCCTAAAATGGAAAAAAAGAACCCCTCGCCACCAATCCCCCTCATCATTTCAATACAATCACATCTCCAAATTTCAAAAGGGCAAAACCCAACACAATCCAATTCCCAATGGAACTGACACATTAGGTAAATTCCAAACATGCAAAAACGCAGGTAAAAGTATCAATAATCAAAACCATGTTTTCCAAACACAAGCTGGACGCCGCACGCATCGACTTCCACAATTCTTTCCCCCCAACTAGACGCAGCAAAACATGTGAACGCATTGAGTTTCCAAGTGGAGAGTACATACACACACGCACATATATATATATATATATATTGTGGAATTCCCATCTTTGTGCCTCCACTCCCTCTACCTTTGAACACTTCAACAACCGACCCCGGGCTCAGGATCCCCCACGGTCTCCAGCAACCTGCCACGGTCTCCCACACGAGGCGTGGGAAAATCCGCAAGAAACCATGGTTCCATGAAGTTATGACCAACTGGTTGGTGTATGATATGATGGTTAATATACTGTTAATAATGGTTAATGATGACGGTTTTTAAATGGTTAATGATGGTTGATGATAATCTGGTTGGTGGTAACACAACCCCTCTGAAAAATGATGGAGTTCGTCAGCTGGGATGATGACATTTCCAATATATGGAAATATAATACAGTCATGTTCCAAACCACCAACCAGCCATCAAATATAGGGGGTTCCTGTCATTTTTTCCCGTTGAACTATTCCAATGATTGAAGATAAGTTAGATAAGTTGAAACCTCACACTACCGGAGTAACACCCGGACATAATCCTACCCACTCTAGCCCAAACTGGCCTTTTTGGCAAGAGTCTCCTTTTGTAAGCTATCTAAGCTCAAGTGGTTGAGCTCATGTCCAAGGCTTTATTCGTGTTTTGGGGTAAGACATACTCCAATCTGGAGAAAGCACGAGTCAGTAGTTGCGCACCGTGGATGAGGATCCCAATACCCTCTGGTAATTTTCTACATAGCTATTGAAAATGGCACATTTATAGTTTATTTACCCATTAAAAATGGTGATTTTTATCTTGGTTTACCAGAGGGTATAATTTAATCATAGTTCAATTTCAAACAAGAGAAACTGGTGAGTTGGATGGCATGATTGAGTTACTGGTTGGTGGTTGACCTACATCTCTGAAAAATATGAGTTCGTCAGTTGGGATGATGACATTCCCAATATATGGAAAATAATCCACATGTTCCAAACCACCAACCAGGTTATATATATATATATCACATAGTAAAATAATTCCAGAATGTTCCGCCTGCTGCATGTGCATGCGGAGCCATACTAATGACTATATGGGGGTTCCTAAAATATGGGTTCCCCAAAACCCCAAACCATTGGTCTTCCCATCGACAATGACCAATTTTGGATGATTTGGGGATTCCCAACTTTAGGCAAAAAAACATAATATAGAGTACACACATACATATATATATATAGTACATATGTATATATATATATATACATAATATATATATACATAATATATATATATATTACATACATACATACATATATATATACATACAGTATATATACAGTATATATATATACAGTATATATATATATACAGTATATACATATATATATATATATATATGTTCTACTTATTCATAGCAAACTGCATCAACAGAACCACCGTCTCGCCCTCTCGTTGCCTTGGCATCGTATTCATCCATGATGTCCTGCCCCGTTCTCTGAATCGTCAAAATGGCATAGCTCTGGTAATGAAACCATTCCAAAAAGGCTACCTTTCATCAGGAATACCATGGAAGATGTGGATTGACCCAACTGGTTGGTGGTTTGAAAACATGGTAAAATGGTGAGGTAAAATGGTGATTTAATGATGGTTAATGATGGTTAATAATGGATCTGGTTGGTGGTTGACCTACCCCTCTGAAAAATGATGGAGTTCGTCAATGGGGTTGGGATGACATCCCATATACTATGGAAACCAATGTTTGAAACCACCAAACAGTTATTGCACATCTCCAACATTTGCGACATATGTGGACATATATGAAGGTGTCTTTTAAAAATAATGGCTACCCCAAACCATTGCTTTTCCCATGGATCATCACGAATTTAAGGGATGATTTTGGGATACCCCCATAGGAAACCCCCTCTTGGGACAAAATTAGCACAGACCTTGGGCATCTTCTTGAAACCTGGGGTGGAGTCACCCGGCGACCTGGCTACCTGATGCTACCTGGCTGACCTCAACAATTAGACAGCTGATAGCAAAAAAAACATAAAAACCCAGCCAATCTACTCTGGTTGATGGTTGACCTACCCCTCTGAAAAATATGAGTGAGTAACAGTTGGGATGATTGTTCCCAATATATTCCTGTTGTTGGTTTATACCCTATGAAAATCACTATTCATATCACTATTAACCACTATGGTAACCATATGACCATAAATAATCCAGTCATGTTCCAAACCACCAACCAGCAGCCAATCTACTGGCTGGTCCACTGGAATGCGATCGATCCTGCAACCATTTGAAGCGTGGATCGATCTGGTCGTTGTTGAACCTTGGTGATGGTCAAGAATTCGGCCGAAAAGAAGCCCACTATCTGTTGGTTCAATGCTTTTCAATGGGCTAAAAAACACATGCTATTTAAATATATAGATGTAACCCCACAGAACCTATGATAGCTATGATTCGGTTGCTTGAGGGTCACTGGGGTCATGTCTCATATGGGGATCTACGAATTATCAACTCATTTCCGAGTTTGTGTCACCAGCAACGAATTATGGCATCCGATTGCTTGCTATGAGAAATGTTTCCAGAGCCTAAACATGTCTACTTTAATGGGAACAACAAGGGTTTTACCGTTTTACCTGCAGATTTTCCCATGTCCAACAGTCCTAATTGGACATTCAGCAAGTTGAGTCCTCCAATCCAATCTACCTACCTATCTATTGATTTATCTATCCCATCCATTCATCTATATGACATCCACGTTTGCACATTATGATGTAAAGCGGTGCGTTCCTATTTTGACCTCTCGGAATTTTCAGTATCCTTTAGAACCAGCAGGTCACAGCCATCTATGTCGGTAGACTTTCGAAATCTATATGTATGTTTGATCAATGTAGAAATAATGAAGTATGTATACATACATATATATATATATATATATTTTTATTTATATACGTATATGTATATCTGTACATGTATAATGTAATATATATATATATGTATGTATGTAGATGTCATAAGATATATGTGCATTTAGCTCTTTGTACGTGTCCATCTCGGATGTTGAAGATGTGTGAAAACCGTGCAATAGGTAGATTTTGTCTGAAATGGATATCCATCCCTTATGAAGATAAGTTGATGCTATGTCCCTATTCAACATATTGTTCAGAGGGGGGAGGCGCATTGTGATTCCTCATGAAAATAAGTTGATGGTATTTCCCCATTCAAAATATGGCTCAGATTGTCTGTATGGTGGGCGAACGTCCGGGTTGGACGGAACATGTGTGGTTTCCATGATACGACCAAGAAGGATATGAAGGGTATCGTGCAACATGGGATTATACAATCGATTAGGAATAGCAAGTAGGCTTGACAAGGCCCCAATAGGGGGACTTGAAGTTGCACCTATCGTGCCTTTACTGCTGAAACCATCCGACCTTGTCACCTTCTGTTTCGGTAGTGTGTTTACCGCTGAAAAGTATAAATGTAGAACAGGATCATCTCATTTGCTGAATGAAAGTAATCATATTTGAATCCACCAATAAGTTGAAGTTTTCAGCAGTCCTTTTCTCCAAGTTCTTCCACTGAAGTCCTCCGCACTGTGCAACTTAACTTGGCCCAGAAACTGTTTTTGCCGCTCAAGCAGGATTCGACCATCCTGACGCGTGCATTGATGACACTGGACTGAGGCGAAGCGTTTACATATGTGTGTGTGAATATGTGTGTGTGCACTGATATATATATATACAAATAATCATATATATATAGACATTGTATGTATATAGTATATATGTATGCTAATAATTGCTAAAACACATACTTTTATCCACATCTACATGTAGAGAGACAGAGAGAGTGCAAGGCTCTACTGATCCTTGGAACAACTTGAAGAATCCCTACTTTGGGATCCTTTCCTTCAGGAACGAATGGTTCCTGAGTCCCGCGATGACCAAGTGTCGGGAAAGGACTCTCAGCTGATTGGAATTGACTGGCCACAGACTGAAACATACAACTAAGACAACAGAAAATGCAGCTGTTGCGGAATTCCCACTTTGGGGGAGACTCTTGCATCTTTCATCTTCTGCATATCCGTGTCATCATGTGATTAATGTGCCATTGCTTTCCCTCCCAAAACATCCATCTATAAGGCCATAAAGACATGCAGAGTTCCTCATATGTCGCACTTAAAAAAACGTAAACAAACATGAAATTGGGTGTTTCCCTCCCAAAACCATCCATTTCTGGCTGGTTCTCCAAGAAAAACATCGAAAAACCGCCAGGCCTCTACGGTGTAGGCTTCCAATGGCACCTGGACATCGCAGTCGCTGTGGTCGAAAAGAATGGGATGTGTATGGGACACGGGAAGTTTACATAATGGGATATTCATGGGAGGTAATGATATAGACATGGGATAATGATATAATGGTCTATCTATTTATGGGATGTTTCGGATGATTGATTTTGAAGGATATTCCGGGGATTGTGGGGTATACGTATGGTCATATTCGAGATTACTGAGATTGCTGATGGGATATTCATGGCGGTCTGGCCTCGATTTTGTGGCATCAAACCTGGGGATTTTGAGTCATGCAAAGAGTGATATTCAGCACGGACCAAATTCATGGAATCTAGCAACTACATAGGTATGGGCATCTGAACCATTTAAAGAATACTTTACTAAACGGAGATGTACCTACCAATAAAATGGATTTATAAGATTCGGCGTTCGTTATTCTGACCCTCAAAAGAATGAGGTATGAGATGACAAAAACATGGCAAAACATGAAAACTATTTCAGTGTTTTTAAATTCTACGGGACAAAGCACTGGGTTTGAGACCCTGAAACTCATTGATCCGGATGTACCTCAAGACTTGAAATTTCAACTGGAGGGTTGGTTTTATCCTACTTTCTGAATTGTCCAAATTGCACGCACAATTTGTGGGTGGTGAATGACAAATCACTGTTTTTGTTTCAGCATGGAATCTACCCTTCAGAAAGCTAACATAGATATGGAAAACCTACCATTTGTATCCATTTGTATATCTTCCTGGAGAAGCATTGATTTTCGTGGACCTTGCAAATGTTAAACAAAAATGAACACATTAATATACCTGGGTATGTATATTATGAGTAACTCAGGCCTCAGGGTCCTATGGTCCATAATATACATATTCTACATACGTAATAAATATAACTGGTCCTTTTTGTACATTATTATTTGACCAGTTTTGATTTGTATCATACCAATTATTGACAATTATTGTCGTGCTATAATACAATACACACTATAATTATTATTTTTGTAATATTATTATGATCAAAATTTATATCATATAATATATACTTATTTGTTAGACCATCTACTGGCCTCTATGTCTGTGGTCAGCATACCCCCACCTCCAGGCATGTAAGAGTCCATGTCGCAGTCCACGTCGCAGTCCACGTAAGAGATCATGTGAAAGACATGGCCCATAACAAGCCAAAATAAACCCATAATTGAAGCCCATCATGGCCTACTTACCCACGAACCGTTCAGAAACCTTTACATGGGTTGTTACGTGAGTTCTTACGTGAGTTCTTACGTGAGTTCTTACGTGAGTTCTTACGTAGGTTTTTCATGCCTTTTTCAGGGGGGAATACCCCTGAACCGTCCATTCTCCGTTCTGAACCGTTCTGAACCATTCAGGGGGGAGGTAAAAACAGCCAAAAACCACGTAAGAAACCACGTAAGAAACCAGGCCAAAAAAACAGTCCTTGGAAGGGGTTGGACAGGTTAGGTTCTCTCCCAGTGTGTCACGGGCTAAACCAGTGGCCACTGACCACGTGCGCCTTGCCATAGCCATAACTAGGCTCACAGTCACCCATTTTCATGAGCCACACCACTCACATGGGCTTATGAATGAACATCAACTGACAATACAACGCCACATACATACAATACAAAGATTGTTCAAAGGCCCATTATTTACATGACTTCTTACGTCAACTCTTACGTAGAAAAGACCCATCTCTTACGTCCACCTCTGGGAGACGTCAGAAACCAGCCAATAAAGAGGCTAATGGCAGCTCTAACTTATTTGTATTATTTGTATTGGTCCTATAATCGGTACATTCTGATAGTTTTTTGTTTTTAATATAATCTATAATATACTTGGAATCTATAATATACTATTATAATGATACACTTTTTCTTATTTGGAATCTCCCAGTCCCCAGTCGGTCACAGCGGTCACAGCGGTCACAGCTGTCACAGCGGTCACAACGGTCACAGCTCTGTGCTCCGCACACTGTATCCGATGGGCAGCCCTGGAGAAGCTGGGCGCGCAAGGTCAAGGGCTATGTGAATACCATGGCCAACCAAGACAAACACAACAATAAAGGCCTTAAATAGTTCATACATATTTATGGAAGTTATACAGTTATATGTATATATTTACACATATATATATATATGTATATAGTCATTATATATATATGTATATAGTCATTATACATATATATATATATGTGGACAATAGATAATACTAGCATGACTTACTCTATATAATCCCATCCACCAAAATATGCTGAAATACAAGGTTTTTGACATCCCCTAGCCTTCCAGCTGCCTCCGAATCATTTTTGTAATCCCATCCCCTGTGCTGGGGATAAGCACCCCCAAACAGCATGGTACCAAATATGTAAACCATGGTAAAAATGGGAGGTGTCAAATATGATATAAACAGGGGAACCCAAACAATACTGAAATACAACTTGTTTTTTGAACAGTTCAATCTGACATCTTCATTTGGATTCATTTGGGATATATGTTGGATAATTACTCTTTCTTCTGGGTGCTGCTGTTGGGATGTATTGCACACCACAACCATGAGCCATGTCAACAGCCATGGCAGCCATGGATATCGACCTGCAGAAATCCTGGATATGTAAAAACACATGGATCAACCACAAAATCTGTTCAGCTTGTGCTTTTTTGGAACTTGCTAAAACCAAGTTGGCCAGTTCATGTATAATATATATATATATATATTATATTATATATTATATATTATATATTATATATTATATATTATATATTATATATTATATATATACATAATTGAATGAATCCCAAGTATGCTTTCAGGTCATCTTTGATGGCTGCACTCAACAACATAACCACGCCCCATATGGCATTGGATAGTGAACCTGGCGAAGCCCCGGTTTCGATTTTTTTATCCGTGCCTGGAATCATCTTAGGCCTGGCGATCACCGGGGTAAACAAAACCATCAGGCTTAAATTGCATGTTCTTATATAGGGAAAATGGGTATGGGATTTTGATGGATTTTGTGTATTCCAACAAACACGACGGTATGGATGTGGGTCTGGTGTGTGGTATGTGTTCAATCTTGTTGGATAAAGCACCAGATTTTTGGCTATCCCATGTTCAAAGAAACCCACATAGACATAGATCATGGATGATCAAGGTCATTCCGCTACAAGCCAATGTCTAAGTGCCGCATGGAGACGGTCTTGGAATGATAACATGCCTCGAATCTATACATCAATCATCTTCACTTGTTTACGGTTGCAGCAGCTATGCCTCCACCTGGTCATTTGTGAACAATCTATATAATAAGTATGCTGTTCAATCCCTCTCACGCAAATGCTTGAATCTGATACATATTGGACCCAAATATGTACATATATATATAATAATATATTATATTATATATATAACTATATTATATATATAGTTATATTATATATATAGTTATATTATATATATAGTTATATTATATATACATAATTATATATATATTATATATATATTATATTATATCACGTTGCCTTTTTTGTTATTAAGCCATCCAATTTGTTCGAGGGAGCCAAACCAAACTACTTTCAATGAAGCCAGACCTGGAAATTGGATCAAACAGTGATGAACATTGGCATTTTGGGTATGTGAACAGAATGGCTATGATAATTGTGGGTCAGTTCACCCATGGAATCCCCTGTAATTCACATCACACTAGCTGGTGTTTAGCAATCCGGAGGCTTCCTAAAATGGGGGTACCCCAAAATCATCCAAGTCATTAGACCATGACTTAGAATTGAAACCCATGGTGACTTGGGGATTCCCTATGACTTAAGAAAGCCCAATTGTTCATCCCCCCAACTGGAACATCATAGCTGTCATAGCCACCCCAACGTCAACGACGCCAAGAGCCCCACTTGTTTTTGCCCGGCACCACAGGCGGATAGGACCGCGGTAGCCTTGGTGTCATTGGGGGAATGATCGTTGATGAAGGGCATGCCACAAAGACGGGCAGTACCCTCTAGTGATCTAACAATGGCAAATGGTCACCTGGTCCATAAATAGGATATTTGTGGATGATTGACCTGTATGTATATATGTATGTATGTATATATATATATATGTATACGTATACGTACGTATATATGTACCCATTAAACATGGTGATTTTCCATGTAGATATGTTGAATCAGCAGTGGGTAAATCTATTGATTTATGTAATCGACATGGAGCTGAAGCATCGGCATCAAAACCACCAAGGACGTCCAAGAACCTCTATGATTTCCATCAAGCCCTGGGGGATGGATATCAAACCAAAGACAAGCTATTTTGATGTGAACTACAGCGTACCAGGGTTTTGACCCAAAACCATATATATATATATATGTATATATATATCATATAATTATGATTACACGGTTCTCCAGTTGTACATGTAGTACTGATTTCGGAAAATTCAAACCACATTGATTTAGAAAGGCAGCCCAGCAAGTGCCATGTCCAAATATTAAATTCAATGAACATAATGTTGTTATAATGATCCTATTTTTGTATTATGCCAAACCGTTTCTGTTTTCAGGTTCAACACTTGTGTTCCGGAACACGACGGATGTATATAATTATTTTAGGCCTAAGCTTGGGCTAAGATCAAATGAAGGGTAGACCTCAGTGTCTTCAGGGTAGACCTCAGGATGCAGGGGTCGAACTTGAGACTTCTGAAAAGCACCGCTATGGGTCAAACATTGACATCTTTATAAGGCCACATTTTTTGTGGTCGTTTTCAGTAGTCACCCCATTGGTCAAATCTGCATTGTTTGATGATCACACGTTCATTGATCCTTGCTTTTGATACCTACGGTGGATGGTTGCGAAATCCTGGACCAGTTGATAGGTGGTAAACATCCCATTATTTATAGGGTTTCAACCGTCCAAGGTGGTGCAGGATTTCTTCCATCCACAGTATGATATGACTTTTCAAGCGATTGTCTTCTTTTAAACAAAAGGAGCACACACCAAACACCTGGGCATTCGAGTCTCGAAAAATAAACGCATGATGTATCATTGATTAGTTCCAGATCGTTAGGTACAAATGATAAACCTATTCAAATCATCAAACATCCATTGAATCATTGAAGAAAAACTAAATTCATGTAACATCCATTAAACATCCATTAAGAATCCATTTTGAACTCCATGAAAATCCATAGCTGTCCGACTACCAGGCGCCAGTCCCTGGGTCTTCCAACGTCTCAGTCATGGATGGCATGTCCATCACCACTCGAATGGGCGCACGGCCCTGGCCGTTTCAAAGATTCCCAGACCATGTTTTGCGGATTTTGAGTGTATGTGTGTTATAGTCAAGTTTACTGTAAAGCCCACACAAAAAAAGTTGGTAAAATCCAACTATAACAATGATACATGACTTTTCTGCATCTTTTTGGTGGTTGTTGCACTATACGTATAAATATAATATATTCATTAAACACATCATAAAAATAACAAACGCAACACATATCATGATACTTGGAGGCTATGGATCAAACTTGGGTCTTGGCTGTACAGAAGACTGGAGGCCAAGGCAGGGAAAGCCTGTTTTAGTAGATTGTTTGAATCCAACGCAATTTGTTGCCGTGTGTTTCTTCCATAAAGAATCATAAAGACACCAGAGGAGCTGTACCTCTACTGTCAAGGTTATCTGACAGAGTTAGCAGTTCCGAAGTCTTCCAAAATCTGGACATTCTTGGGCAAAATAACTAGGCAGAACCCAGCTGACACAGATCTGCAGGTTCGAATCGAGACTTGCTGGAGAGCGTGTGGTGCAATGTGGTGCAGAATATTTGGATCTCAAACAAACCCAACAACTTTTGGTCGAAACTCGCCGCTCCCAGGGCACCATCTCTCTTTTCTGCTTGCAGTGTTGGCAAACATCTTCTTTCAGACTTTCGTAGGCCTCGGCAAAGTCGCTGATCAAAGTATCAAAGTATGCTCCAAGTCCTGGAACCTCTGGCTCTATGGAACAGATGGCCGGGATGGACCAACATGTTTGACTCCCAAACAGATTGCTGTTAAAGATCCATGGTGGCAACCAGTTTGTGTATCCGATGGCGCGGATCTTGAGATTCAACGATCACCAAGACAGAAGGGTCTTTCTTTCGCCCAGAATAATGCCAAGTACTTGGAGGATTTATCAGATGACTGAGTGATAATATGTACGAGTAGTTGATGAAACAGCTAGCATTCTGACAAGCCATTGGAGACTTCATGGAACTTCCATACTAATCATGGTTGCTCCTGAATACAGACCCTACTGTCCGAGAAAAAACATCTGCCGGATGGATTGGTGGATTGGATGTGTTCATGGATCTTGAAAAGAAGCACATGTCATGGCTAAACCCGATAAGCCACATCCTCTTTATCTCTATTTCTGAGAGAAACTTTCACCGATACAGTACCATTCACCCAGCCTTTACCGAACATGTCATTGACCTCACTGGTAACCCCAACCTTAGCATCAAAAAAACCTTGGAGGACTCCTAGCAGCACACTGAGTACATGGCCCGACCACACTGCCGGCAAGCCTGCTGGAACTGGTGATGCAAGGCCATTTTTTTCTTTGGGTATGGGAGTTAGCCACTCGTGAAAATGGGTGGTTCAATGCCCCTCAAAAAGGGGGTTAGAATATTGTGGGAATGGGGTAGAACGCAATATAACTTTTTGTTTGAATTCCAGAACATTGCATGGAGGATTTGAGTTGGTTGAAGAAATTCTGCTAGAATGGATTACGATAGGATTGGCGAGGTAGAAACAAGGGGAGGTTCATAATTACCATTGGGTGGATCTCCTCACTGTTTGATGCTTGAGACCCCTAAGAATCGGCAAGTCCTTGGGAATCCAGCGAACCTAGAAAAAGTCCAGCAGATACAAAATCCCATACTATCAGGGATTTGAAAAGAAGGTGCTGAAATTGTGCTACATTATTGTCGGGATTGGTTCGTGTTTCCAAGCAAGATCTTACTTTTCTCAATATACTTTCTAGGTAATCAAGCAACCAGTGCCTCATGTCGATAGTCCCTCGTGTGAAAGCGGCTGACCATCGTTTTGGGAATATCCTACAACCTTCCTGCAACCAAATGCCATAAGTACACAGGTCATACAGTACCACAACCAGGCTGGTCGAAACAAAAATAAACATATAAGATCCGTTGACAAACAGCTTACAGGTATAGTATATGGTTGTCTTGACTCGCCATCACCCCACAACACCTCTGATCTTCAGATCAGTAACCATCAGGGCCTGCTTCTGAGTCTTGTCCGGCACCCCCGCCATAAAGCCCACCACGTTCCAGCGACTTCGGAAGTCCTTCGCACAGGACACACCCCTGTAGATGCTGGAAAGACTATGAACATGCGTGGTTTGGTCTGAAACAGCAAACCCAATTGGACTGGGAACTCCCCGTTCAGGGCAGTACCAAACCTTTTGGAGGGATCATCGTCAACAGGCATTGGAAGCCGATGAAAACAAAATGGATCCCAATGGATCCCACATGGCTTGACAGTGGAGCCCGGTCGCATGATGTGGCAGCAGAATTCATGACACAGAACGGGACACCAACGCAAGAGCTGTCCTTGTCTTGACTGAAATACGTGAAGATCACATCGTACCTGCCAGCTGAAAGGTGAGGGCAATGGATTCCCATCTTCATCCCTGGCATCACTGGCATTATCACCACTAACCACCACTAACCACCACCATCCGAGCCGCGGCACATGTAGGCATCGGTGGTCTTCTCAAAGGTATCGGGGCGTAGGTCTGCTGCCTTGTACCTGGCTGGATTCACTTGTGCCCAGATCAACGGACCCCAAACGGACCAAACGGGTTTTTGGAAGGTGTAAAAATCATCAGGGGGCAGGGATAAATGGATGAAGTTGTTGGAAATCATCGGATTACATTGATTACATCATATTCACAAAAATCATCAAACATCCCAGTGATTGATGCCACAAAAAGGTGTCCCACATGTAAATTCAGCGACTTTTTGGAGCTCAGACCCTTGGTCATCCTACTTACAGTAGTAAGAACTGGATAGAAACTGTGCTTGTGAGTGAAATACCTTGTGAATGAAACTGGATAGAAACTTTGCCGATCTAAAATCGTTTCAGTGATTTCTGCTCTTTAGTTCCTGAACTGATCATGGCTATGAAACGCGGTTGACTTGTCAAGAGGAACCATCCTCCCAACGTTCATCCATTGGTCCTTGCATGGCGTGAGTGTGTTCCTCGATAAAAAATCATGATACCACTAAGAAAAATCATACCTCTAACTAAGAATGGGCCCCAACCAGAAAAACAAATCCAATGGCCATTGGCCACCGGTCAAGGACACACATCAAATTTTGCCCAAAAAATAGGTCACCAACACGTGGCAATGTGAATACCATGCTTGATTTAGCACTTTACCCTGTGGTAATCTCAAACAACTATAGAAAACCACCATTTCTAATATAAATCATCTGCAAATGGACCATTCTCCATAGCTATGTAAAAAAATTACCAGAGGCTATCGACCTGTTCTTCTTTGGCAATGGATCTGGCGTGATTCACCTCCGCCGCGCTGTCTATGTCACACATGGCGCCAGGCCAGCTACGTGCCAGGAGGTCAAAAACATTGTTTGAACCTTCCAAGCTATCACCAGTTGGTCCGTCTTGGAGAATCACGCCATGAGGGGATTTACTCATCAATCAATGGGATTTCATGGGATGTGCCAAATTTTTATTGGGTGGAAAAAACATGTGTGCTGGTACATCCAACAGCATCAACTCTGTACCTGATTCTACCATTTTGGGATTTTTTAATCGGGGCAATCTATTGCGTTTTCTGCAGAAAGTATTGCAACTGGTCAACAAATTTGGTTGAGAAGTCCCCACTTCCTAGTTTTTCTCCCAATTTTTACTGGTAACCATACATTCAGAGTTCTGATCCTACGGATGGATGATTTTAGATATATATATATATATATAATATAATTATTGTCCAAACAATTGTTTTTTTTTATCATTCTTAGCCGCAGGGTTAAATGTGTATCTATATGTTTATACAGTGATTCTATTATTTATATTATATACATATATACATTATTTATTTTTCCGGATAAATTGCAACTAATCAAAGTAAAATCGTTAGTGAGGTAACCATCATTACAATTATATTCCAACAAATCAATTAATCAATTACAGGTAACCATTAATCAATTATCTTCCGGATAAATTACAACTATTTCTGCTTGGTGGTTGCAATCCCTCTGAAAAATATGAAGGTCAGCTGGGATGATGACATTCACAATATATGGAAAGTCATAAAAGTCATGTTCCAAACCACCAACCAGTTATATATTCAACCATCATTGTGACGTCGCAGTGAGGTCATCATTGGATCTCTCAGGCATGCTTCTCCCAGGCGGATCTCCAAGGCGGGTCGCATGAACGCGAAAACACCACCAGCACCGCCACTTGGTAGAAGTGGATCCATTATGGCCTATGTTTCCACCAGAAACATGTGCATACAAAAAGCATCCATATGTCATGTATACAAGTGTATGTAAATATATGTAAATAAACATGTTTGCTGCAACCCTGACGTTGCGCCGCGTCTGACTTCAGGTGGTTATGAAGATAAAGTTGATGTTATTACCCCAATCAAAATATTGGTTGACGAGGGGGTTTGCCCCGCTTTCACCCGTCTTGTTTCCTCTGTTTGTCACATGCAAAGTGCTCATGATCGAAAATGAACTTTTCGTTGTGGGGAAATGGCCATTTTCACAGATGTCTGTGATGTGCAATGGATGTCAGTTCTGCTTAGCGGTGTCAACATAACTTTTATTTTTTAAAAAAAATGGAAGTTCGGAGCAACCCTTACAGGGGTTTGTGGGGTCGATACGTTGGCATTTTGAGCTTTTTTTCACTTTTCAGGTCATCCACGGGGCATCTTCAAAACACTTGACATGACTAACTTGGTCAGTCATGTTGGCAATGAACTGAGCAAAAGCCGTCATTGTCGCTTTCAAGCCTAAGTTCTTGTGAATGTATAGTGCTGACAAACCATCCACGTGCGCAGTTTTCAGAGGCCTGCAAGCTTATTGTTTCGTCTCAGCTGTTTTTTTAAGCAGGGCCACGTGAGTAAAAAAGGGGCAAGCCTCCCCCGTCTTCCCAACATATTGTTCATAGAGGGTGGCGATTTTTGATCCCTTATTCAACATCTTGTTCAGAGAGGGTGGCAAATCTTAATGTGATGATGATAATGATGTGATGGTGTGATGGTGGTGATGATGATGATGATGATTCAATGATGATCAGGATGATCATGATGATGGTCATGACGGTTGTATATAAGTGTGGAGCAACGTCCGGGTTGGGGCGAACATGTTCTATGTACATAAAAGCAAAAATAAAATCATATATATATATATAAATATAAATATATATATATGGTATCGCCGCTGGTAGCGACCCTGGGCCTTTCATCACCACATTCATACATGCTTGTCTCCAATGTCCCACATTTTGTATGTTTTCTTCCATATTGGAAATTTGCACACATGCATTTTGCACCATTTTTTGCATAGGGGCATGTGCATCATGTTCAATTTGCAGTGTAATGGCGATCCACACCTCTCTTTTTTCTGCGGGGTTATGTTTTCGGACACTTATCCTCGATGCTTTGCAGCTCTTCTGGCCAATGCATCTGCCAGATTTATTTTATGATTCCAGCGAAACTGAAAGGATCGCACATACTGCTCAAGCCGTGCAGCATCTCTTGTGCCCAATCCTATGTCCACCGTAGCGTGCACATCCGATGCAACCTCAAACCAACGTCAACATGCCCCACACCACCCAACCCTATGTCCACCGTAGCGTGCACATCCGATGCAACTTCAAGCCAACGTCAACATGCCCCACCCCACCCAACCCTATGTCCACCGTAGCGTGCACATCCGATGCAACTTCAAACCAACGTCAACATGCCCGACCCCACCCCACCCAACCCCTATCAACTGATGTGGGTAGAAGCAAGAACAAAGAAACACTGACGGAGAAAACATGCCACCATGCCCAGCTAAAATGCAACCAAGAGTTGTGGAACGAAAGCTTGCCGTCTGAGAGTCTGACCTGGTAGAGCAGCAGACTTCCAAGATATTGCTATGGGGTCGCTAACAGAGGCGTTAGCATATATATATATGTTGATATACATATTCTTTATCGTCATATACGTATAATATACATATTATTTTGTATCTAGACTATTATACATATATAATTGACTATATTTGATTATATATGATTATATGTTTATACTTATGATTACTTATGATTTTATATATATGATTCTATATGATTAATTACTTATCATTATATATGATTGCTCATGATTAATAAATGATTGTATAATATTAGATATATATATAACTAAATATTATAATCAGCGATATACCAGTTTCGAAACATTAAATGGTCGTACATGTGCACCTTGGGGCTTCGAAAACAGTCTCATCTCATGACGGACAAATCCTTGGCAAATCCGTTGCCTGCAATGCCGACCTCGACATAAGATGCTAAAGTTTTGCTCACTAGGTGAATTCAAGGGTTTCTGGCAGGTGTACTCTATAGTTAGTGGAGTTTATAAACCAACTTCTAATTAGAAGGAAAAATCGTGCCGAGATTGTTACATACATATCTCATATATGGGGTTGCGTCAAAATTCAGGTATTATGGATTGGCCCGCAGTGATCCTGACGTATGGATCGGTCTGGATCACCTGCCTTTTGGTATGGATCGGGGGTATGGATCGGCCTGTGGGTTCAGGGTATGGATCGGGGCTTTACATTTTGACTCGCAGCCATGTGCTATGTGTGTTAGATTGACCTCCAAGTACGACACCGACCAATATAATACCAATATGTTTCATCGCTTCAGAACAGATTGTTTTAATATTGTTTTAGTATGTTTTAGTTTCCTTTGACTGATTCGTTTGAACAACCTCCCACCATTGTGAAACAGAGCCGAAACGGAACTTCTGCCAGTGGTCGTCCGGACATTTCTTTCTTGGAAAGCAGTCGACATCTGTCTTCCAAACGTGCACTGCGGTGCTCGATAATTCCAGCACTGCGACATTTCCGCAGCGCGCACCGTCCATGCTCCAACCTCTTTGGGCCACGCCGGCCCACGCTTAATCCAAGCAACTTGTTCATAAAGAAACCACACCACATAAAGAAACCCAGGGTTCAAACAGATTGTCAACAGATCCACAAGTAGATAGACAATTAGATCCAGAACAACCAGGATGATTCTAATATTGAACGACCTTGGGAGTACCTCCCAATAGGTGTCTAGTGACCGAAACCTGCATCGTGAGGGGCAGCAATACATCATACCACATCATATGGTTATCCGACCTGTGTCCTCTGCCTTATTGTTACAGTAGATGCTCTGTTGCGTTTCAACTTCATCATTCATTTGACAAATCCATCAAATCCTGAATCTGTATATCGGTTGCTGCAGCATTTTAGACAGGCTCCGGGTTTTTTAGCCCCAAGTGGGAATAATCTGTGATTCTGAAGCCCTTTTGGATGGTTTTCACATTCATACTTTTCCCTGATGTTTTCAGAATGTCAAACATCCAAGGACCATTGATCCATATTGATCCATTGATCCATCGCTACGAGTACCCTGAGTCATCACTGAGTGTGTTGCTGCTGGAATCCATTGGTGGTTTCAGTGTGGAAATCCGCGAGGAAAACTCAGAAAAGTGTGTACCCTCTGGTTATGACTAACATAGCCATGGTATAGATGGCCCATAGAAACAGATGATTTTCCCAGCGAACGAAACCTCCATTTATTTTGGGGATTTTCCATGGCTATGTTAAATAACCAGATGGTAATTCATGGTATTCTGGTATTTGAAATAGCGTTGTACCAAAAAAAACATGGCAGACTTGTGTTCACCCACATGAAACCACCGGTTTCAAAATCCACTGGATCGTCTCCCGGAAAGCTCCGGAATTCCTAAGTGATCCTAAGTGACCAGAAGCAATTCCTCATCTAACCGACTGGTCAGAGACATTTCCTCGTCCCATCGGCTCCAAGGCTCGTCATCTGCGATGCACTCATATCCCATACCTTGGAACCAAGGCTGGACCCGACCCCGAAAAACAGGTGACGGTCACCAACCAGGGATGATCTATGGCAGACTTTGGTCATTCCTCACCATGGTGCAGAATTGGCTAATTCGCAGACTTTTTTAAAGCCAACCTGGTATGGTGTAGAAGAAGTTCGTCAGACAAGTTTGAGGATTGGGTATGGTTTATATGGTTTAGCGTTTTGTTTGGTATTGGTTTTACCAATACCACTTGTTTCTGCCCCAACAAAATCTTTGGATTTGAAGGTGAGACCGGCGACGCGGGGATATTGGAACAATAGTATTATGTATCTCAATAGTTGTTCCCTTGGGCCGCAAGATTCAACAGATCCCTGGGTTTAGTTTTGTGGACAGCCACTGGTCTCTCTAATAGCCTAACCATAACCCCTTACAATTGGCATATCGCATGTACACATGAATACATCCATGAAAACACAGCAATGATCTCCAGTTCTCAACAAGTCGACCGTTTATCAACTTCAAGAAATCATTCAGTAGCTACCCTCTGGTAATTTGTTACATAGCTATTGAAAGTGACCATAGAAATAGTTGATTTACCCAGCTATAAAATGGTGGATCTTTCCATCGTTTTTTGTATGTTTACCAGGCCGGGTATGTCTTAGCTCTCCCAGAAACTTCGCATGGTCAGCCTGGTCAGCCTGGTCAGCCGTCACGCCAGGATCCAAGAAACGTGGTGGTGAACAGTACCATCTCAGGCTAATGGAGCGAAGGGTCGCAAAGGCCTCAGGGAAACCCCTCTTTTCATAGGCTCCAGGAGCATCAAACAGTAGGACTTCAATCAGCGATTTGAATGGAATTGAAATGGTAGACATGTATGTATGTATATATATATATATATGTACAGTAATTGCATGTCTACATACATAATATGTATAATATATATATATAACACATTATTATACTATGTATTCAGTTGATGATTGTTGAATATTCACAATAAATTGTACAGAAAACATATAACATGCCAGGATGTTGTTTGAATAAAATATATGTTAGAATCCTACTTAAAGCAAGTCTGATGGTTAAATCATGTCAAATCTATTGCCATACATCTTAAGCAAATTGTTCCTGGGGGTTTGAATGATATGTCCCCATTCTTTCCGTTCCTTCGGGTATCTTACCAGGCAGCAGGGATCTTCTCGAACCAATGCCGTAGTAAAACCAGCAACACATGTACAAACCATTAGGGGTGGACATGCCAAATATGGAACATACCACTGTCATGACATGCTGTGGTCTGGCAACGTTTCCCCCAATCACAAGTATTCACAAGTGGTAAAAGGACCGACTCTGAAAGCCCTGTTTCACTTACAGTATGCTTTCATCCTAAAATATTTCCCGTCTCGCGTTGACTTTCGGTGATGGCAAATGTCAACACTTGGCGAAACGTGCCCGGGAAACTTGCTCGTTCAAGTCCGATGATGGTGAAGTTCCGCAATGAGTTGCAGTACATCAACTAAATCCGCTTACAAGAGGTTAGGCCTAGGTACTGGAACATGAATTCTACTCAAAGTGGATTCTAAAAGTACTCACCAGATATAGCTGTTACAGAATTTACAGATATACTCATTTATTCCAGTAATACTATTGATAGTACCTATTGATTTTAAGCCTCGGAACCAATCTGTGGGCCTGATATCATGCCAGGGTGCGATGGAGACGCCAACGAGTGAGGTGATAATGAAAGCACCTGGCGATGAGAAACCGCTGGCCTTCACGGTACACCTGGTGATAGTACGAAACGAGAGTGCGATCGCTGTTATCGCTGTTATATGGTTAATATATGGTTAATATATGGTTAATATATGGTTAATGATGGTTAATGATGGTTAATAATAATACTGGTTGGTGGTAAAACAACCCCTCTGAAAAATGATGGAGTTCGTCCATTGGGATGATGACATTCCCATATATTATGGAAAGTCATAAAAATCATGTTCCAAACCACCAAGCAGAATAGTAAAGGTGAAGTAAAACCAATAGTCAGTTGGGATGGTTATTCCAAACCACCAACCAGATCACCATCATATTCCCATTGTTGTTGGTTTATAAGTTTATACCCTATTAATTAACCACTATAAAAATATCACAATTTTCCAAACCACAGGTCTCAGTTTCATCATTGGACCATGGTTTTGGTCAAACCACAGGTTGCTGTGAACTGCGTGGATCCTGCAGAGCTCCTGTTTTCCGACATTGCGCAGAGTGGGGGACCCGCTTCGTCACTTGGTGTCGTTCAGATAAACAACGGCTATGGATCGGATGAACTACGGAATCCAAAGGCCGTGAGTCTATAGTTTTGGGTTCTCTTGACACTAATCCAAATTTGGATGAATGTGATATAACATATAATATGAGATTGTTCAACCCCCATGTTGGGTTGCATGTCGGGATTCATGTTGTCTCTGAAACAGGTTTCATTTCGGAAAGTCTGGCAAGAATCAACGCAATTTCAGTGGACTCTGAGGCCCAAACAATACTCCCATCTCTTGTTGTTTGGACTCGTGCCCTTGTGATAGCTGGGACTCTCCATGGTTTTGGGTTATTGAAGGTTGCAATCAAAAATAGACTTTGTTCAACGTGGCAGCAAAGGATCCATCCCTCAAAATAGAGAATCGTATGTCATATTGTATCAGTACTGACTATTTGGATCTATTTGGTCTATCTCTGCCTACAGTTGAGCTAACAATCTATCTTTGAATAAGTAGAGAGTATTCATGAGTATTGCATGCACATGACAAAGAATACTTTAGACTTAAATGTCAACGTTGCACAAAGTTTTCAGTTCTTCGTTTTCGCGCAAGTTCGTTTTCAATCGTGTTCCCCACCCTTCGCTTTAACGCTTCGCAACCGCCGATGCTTTAACCGACGTCACTGAAATCGCTATCCATGTAGCTCTGCAAGGAGGAATAGCTGCTCATGCTGTCCTCCTAGGTGTCACGAAAGCGCTGAAGATGATATAATATGTGCCATAAATGGCCATTGACGGGAAAATGATGGGTTTTATGCCTTGTTTCTCCTAATGGCCCAATGGGAAAAACAAACTCGAGTTCATGGCAAATTGAATGGGGACAGTTACACAAAGCAATGGATTT